TGGTATCTCTGCAGAAGTAGATTGCCCAATCTTCCTTCCAAGGAGTTCTAGTTAGCAGTCAAATGCCTTAGGCACTACACCACCAGAGCTCCCTGTACAATGCAGGTACACATTATTTTATTAAATCCTTGCAATCACCCTGTGAGATGGAATGTTAGCATCTCTCATTTATAGAAACTGAGATTGAGAAGTCACGTTCTGTAAATCATAGTCATTTTTTGCGTTTGGGGGGAATTGAGGGACAGTAGTCTGAGGTGAAGGTAGCGTAGTGCCTAAGGCATCCGACTGCTGACCAGAAGACTGTTGGTTAAAACCCACTAACCACTCCTCGGAAAGAAGGTTTGGGGATTTACTTCCACAGTGATATCGCCTTGGAAACCCAAGGAGGGGTCGCTTAGAGTTGGATACAAGTCTATGGCAGTGGGTTTGGTTTTTGGTTTTTCAGTCTGAGGTGATCCTATACCTGTTTCATCTTGAAGATGACCACTGGATCTTATCATAGGGTTATAAGATTTAAAGGAACATCCAGAGATGTCTATTGTCCATTTCAAAAGCAGGATCTCATTTTTTAAAATATTCCACATTTAGATGCTGCAAATGGCAAAGACAGCTGTCCATCATGCTATTTCTTCCAGTTTCTGGGAACTCAGAGAGGGATCACATTGCCCAGCCTTCTCACATCTACATGTGCAGTTTTTGTTAATGTTAGGGATACAGAAGTGATTCATGGCACTTCCTAAACAAATTTTAAGAAGCTCTCGCTGCCTTCCCCCCACCTCCCGCTCCGCCCCCCCCCACCCGCCCCCGTCTTTGGAAAGGTGTTAAAGGCTTGTTTCTTTGGAAATAAATACACTTTTATTATGTTAAGCCACTCAATTGTTAGTGTTTGTTGCAGTATCAAGTACCTATCTTAAAGATCCTGAATCCCATAACTTCCCCCTTTAACAATATATTTTGAGGCATTAAGACCTTAAGGATAAAAGACTACAAACAAAAGTCCTACAAGGGCAACGAAGCTGTCAAAATATGAACAAAGTATGTTCTGTGGCCATTTTCACCATTCTCAAAACTGCAGTTATACTCTCATTTACCCATCTTGTAATTTTTACTTATTTGTGACATTTTTAAGTTTTCTAGCACATACACTTTCTAATCTGAACTACAGGTTTAAATAAGAAGTAAAGAAACACTGCCTATTGTAGATTTCCTTCTAGATTCTCAACATTCCCCCTGAAGTCGCAGGTTTTAGCAAATTCCATTGTAGAATTTCTAAAGCTCCTTTTGTGAAGTCTTCCAGTTTTTGAGATCAGACTGGCCTAGGGAACCCGGAGTTCATGTTATAAGCAAGGCCTACAGTCATGTGCGTTAATTTTTTTCGGAATGAGGAAAGCCTGCAATTTATCTTCTAGAAAGTACAGAAAGTGATAGCCATATTTATCTCAGAAGCCCGAAAAGGTGGTGTTGGCATTCAAAGCGATTAGCTTCAGCCACTGCCATCAACAGACTCCGCATCCTCAAGATAAGTGCCAATTAAGTGTAAGAGATGAGAGGTTTCACCGCCTTGTGACGTTTCATCTGCTACTTCAAAATCTCATTAGAGGAAGGCCGAATAATAAAAAGACTGGAACCTATGAGCAGAAAGACAAACCAAAACTAGTAATGATTTTCTTAATTAAATGACCTTTGTGCACTCTGAGCGTTTTTTACCAAACTCGTTGACACCTCTTCTCTCCTCGTCTTTGCTCTCAAAACTTCACCTTCTGCCTTGGCTTTTCGTTTTTCTCAAAGAAAAGAGCAAAGTTGCACATGCGCAAGCGCCTCGATCCTTAGGCCCTAAGAACATACTGGCGCATGCGCGCGGGCCGGGAAGTGGGCGGGCTCGGGAGCGTGCTCCGCGGCCCACTTCCGGCCTACCCCTCCCCCTCCCCCGCGTAGCTACCTCCCCTTCTCCCTTCAACCCAGCCTCTCCCCTAGTTCTCCCCGCCCTGCACACTCTCCGCCCGGTTCGCCACCCGCCCTTCCCCTCCCGCTCCATCCGGGTCGCTGACGGCTTCTCTCTGGACTGGACAGCGGTGGCTGCTGCTTTCCTTTGAGGAACCCAGTAAAGTTTCACAGACGCCAGGGAGGGGAGCCGCGGAGCAGCGGCACCGACGCCGGAGGAGCTCTGGCGATCGCCAAAACTGGCTGAAGGTGGAGGGTCCAGGAGCTGGAGACGGGCCTTAGCTGTCGCGCTGCCTCGCCCTTTGGGGAGGGTCCGCTCCGCGTCACCCAGGGCTCCCCAGCCCTGAGAAACCGGTGAGTCGTTGCCCCGGTGGGTTCGGGGCGTGTGACGGCGTCTGGGAGGGGGCAGGCCAGGCTGGGCGGATACAGGCCGGCCTGGCGCAGGGCGCTTTCTCAGCGCTTTCTCGGGTGGGGGTGGGGGGCGAAGCATTCTCGGGACCCCCTGATCCAGGGACTGGAATGTCGCACCTCCCTGGGGAAGAGCCTCTCTTGAGCTGAGGGTCACGGGGGCTGCAGATCCTCGTCCGCCGGCCTCTGCGGCTTCTGCGAGCGAGCGGACGGCCGCCGTAGTTGGCTGGCCGGCCCTCGAGGTTGAGTGTGTGTGCAGACGATTTCTCGCCTTCGGTCCTTGGGAGCTGATCTGGGTAGGCACTGGTGTTCAGGGGAGGTTTGGATTAACTGCTTCTATTTCCACTACCTGTTGCTGGCATTAGGACGCCTTTTCCATGCCGTTTTTCCTGACTTTTTAAAGAAAAAGGGTGACTAAACCTCGTGCGCTTAAATGGGGGTGGGTGGGTACCTTTTTACGTCTTCCTGTCTCTTTAAAAAAAAAAAAAGCGAGCCAGAGAGAAGACTGTGCAGCAGCTATCGAGTTCTGATGCCCCAAAAGAATGAACTCAAACTTCAGCCAGTGAATTTGCGGTGGAGTGGGACAGCTTCAGTACTTGCTAGACAGAACATAGGATAATTGAATTATTTTTTAAATTTTTTGTTGTGTGCTTCAGGTGCAAGAGAATTGAATTTTTTAAATTTATTATTTTATTGTGGTGAAAACTTACACATCAAGACATTCACCAACATAACTTCCACATCTACAGCTTAGGGACATTGATGACATTTTTCACAAGGAGAATTGAATTTTGAAACTTGGCAGGTTCGCTTTAAGGAATGTGGGGGACTTCAACGGGATTTAGGGCTGGTTTTCCGCAGTGGTGTTATTTAGTGATGCGGTGTGTTTAAAAGCTGGATTAGAGGGAGTGGACTGTGATTGTTATCCGTATTTTCACAAGCAAAGACATTTGCAGTCAGTGTACTGGAAAGTTCTACGGATTTCGCCACCAAACTATCAGTGTCGCAGCCCCAATTCCTATTCTTGAAAAATCGACAGTGCTGGGGTTTTTGCAGACTTTTTCTATCTTCCAGTAGTTGTCCCAGAGGCATAGATTGATAGATACAGATTGCTCAAAAGAAAAAATTAATCCACTTTACCACCCAGAGTAGAAAATGTTGGATTTTTTGGAGAATCTTGGTATATAAACCGCATTTTTTCTGTGTTTTCAGTTAAGTATGTTCAGTTTTAAAATTAAGTTTGTAGTAAGGTTGGAGTGTTACTATTTGGGTTGGTAAAATATATTTGCAGGTGATCGTCTTAACATCATGGCATAATTTTCTCTACTGCCTATTAAGACAAAATTAGCATAAATCATTGGCAGAGTTATTTAAATTGTGGGAAATTTAAAGTTTTTGTTGTTGTTACAGATCAGAGCTTCCGTTTCCCTTGATGTGGAGGTAGGTTTAATTATGCCAATATTTGAGGGAAATTGCAAGGTTATGTTTCTGCAGTTGGCTAAATTTTTCACTAGGTATGTATTTGATTTTTTTGAGCAGTAGAAAGATGTTTTATTTCTTGCTCCTGTTGAAATTATTTAAAGCAAAAAAAAAAAAGGATTAATTTAATCAAGATAGTATTTCCATTAATTTAGACTATCACAAGTAACAAAAAGTCAAAACTAGGTAGTAAGTTTTTAATTATGGAAAGCATGGAGAAAGGCTGTGTTTCCCCTAAACATTTCTGTATGGTGCATTTAAAAAATACAAGTGATTGGCTTTTCAAACATAATGATATTTATGTAAAAATAGATTTGATGTTTACTATATTGTGATTACTGTAGACTAACACTTGAAAGAGCAATTATATGCATTATGTTTCCTTTGAAGTCATATTAACTTTTCTCCTGTCTTCCCAGACATAGGGTTACCTCCAGCTTTCCAGTTCACAAGTTCTTGAAACTGGAAGACCAAACAACATACAAGCATGTTGTGCTGGGGAAATGCATCCTTCGGACAGCTAGGCTTGGGTGGAATTGATGAAGAAATTGTACTAGAGCCCAGGAGAAGTGACTTTTTTGTAAATAAAAAGGTCCGAGATGTAGGATGTGGACTCAGACATACTGTATTTGTTCTGGATGATGGAACCGTGTACACATGTGGATGTAATGATCTAGGACAACTAGGTCATGAAAAATCTAGAAAGAAACCAGGTAAGTTGAAAAAAAATATTTATTTGCTATTTGTAATAATTGTATCATTTAGGTTTTGAAGTGTCATAATTTTTGTAGTCCTAAATGCATATTATTTATCAAGCTTTAAAACAAGCTAGGAGTTAAGTTTATGTAAGTATGTTAATTTTGTGATTTTTTTTTTTTAAGGTATTACTTTCATACACCTTTATTGTATGAGGCTTTGCTTTCACAGCATAATTACAATGATGTGAAATAATAAGCCAGGTGTCAGTGTATAGCTTTTTTTTGGTGTAGAGATGTAGGTATACAGTATGTGAAATCTCTTAATAAAAGTCCTAATCAGTCACCTTGGGCAGATAATTAGTGCATAATTTACTCTCTGTTGTTTTCCATACATCAGAAAGGAAAAACTAAGATGAAAACTTTTTTACTTTAATTATCTGTTTAAAATGTATGTTAATTTTTCTATTTTTCTCCCTTAAATCATCATATTTTAAATACATAATTTTATTTGGCTTAGTTGGAAATATCTTGAATTCCCCTAATCTACTCCCAGGTAGCAGCAATAACTATTAAAGGTTTTGTTCTGATTTTGTAGTAGCCATATAAACTACATTTAAAATAATTTGTAGGGTAATGAGAATTTTGAGGAATTTAGTCACATTCATGTCTTGTTTTCCTGGATATACATACATATTTTAAAATATTACTCTTAGGTGATTAGGAATCATCTCTATGTTAATTTTGCTTTCAATTAAACTAAATATTTTATGGTGGTAAGTTCTGATAAAACGAGCTATACTGATGTGTAGTTTTCTTTTGACTTTAACAGTAAGACACTTAAGTATTTTTTTTATGGCACTTAATTTCTTGATCACTTCATTATTTAAGTGGTTTCTATTGTTAGTCTACTTCTGAGACATTAAAATAGGTATGAAATAAAAAGAAATCAAGGCTCATTTCATCCTTTATACTATCTCACCATCATGCCAAACTTCACTTTTATAGCTTAAATAAATATTGTATAGTTTCCAATTTTTTTTTTTTTTTTTTGTGGTTAGGATTTTAATCTCTTTTCTTTTGCCTTAATTTATAATTTAGTTTTTTATTGGGTGAATGATAGTGATGCTTAATACAGTAGAATTAATTACTGCAGAACTCAAGGTAAAGGGCGGCTTTTCATATACTCTACCTTGCTAAGAATGTTTTATGGAATCCTATTAGATTTTCATAATCTCTGCATTGAGTTGGTCACCTTGGTAGAAATGAATGGGAATTTATTGATGTTCAGTTGGATGGTAGATCTGCTTCTGAGACAGACGTTTGCTTATCTTGGAATGATGAGATTTTCATGGCATTGAGACTGCTGCTATTCTTTGTACTTAACATGTCCATAGAAATAACTGATGATCTCTGTTTTCAGTGATTTCTGAGAGACAGCGGGGCAAATAGCAAGCACAAAGCTAGCATATGGAAATTGCCAATATAATTAGTGAAATTTATTAAGGTTTAACACTTTTTAATGTTCTTAAATGCCTATTCTGTGTCCAGGACCAAGGTAGACACTGCATTAAAAGTATATTGATCGCAGAGCTTGGATCAACTTCTGCCTCCCTAGGTGAGATTCAAAGAAACTTTATTAGGTAGAAGAGGCTTCTTCCTGGTCATGTTGACATTGTGATGATTGCATTGTGACATCTGTATCATCTTGTTGATTCATCTTAGAAGCATTATTTGCTAATATAAAATCGTGAGGATAGGTTTTCCTAACTTATGATAACGTCTTTTAAAACTAATCAGAATCAAATTGACTGCCGTTGAGTCGAATTCGACTCACAGTGACCCCCATTGGGTTTCTAAGGCTGTAAATCTTTATGGAAGCAGACCACCTCATCTTTCTTCTGTGGAGTGGCTGGTGGCTTCTAACCACCAAACTTTTGGTTAGCAGCCAAATGCCTTAACTACTACACTGCTAGAGCTACTTCTTTAGGATTGCCTTATTACCGGCCAAGGTATATCCACAGTCTGTGGAACAGAAAAGTAACAGAAGGCATGAAGTATGTCTGAAAAATTTAGAGCCTGGGTTGGGAGTTAAGGCATGCATAAGTGAGACAACTGAAGAGAATTGAACTTTGACATGATGTGGTATATGTACTTTGAGCCTAGAAATTTTAAATAATGGAAAATAATGTTGTGGGCTAAAATGAAAGATTCCTGGGAGAAAACTGAGGCCTCTAATTTAATTAGTGATTACATAAATAGCCAAAAAATAAGTCTTGGAGCTGCTTAGTTTTATGGGCAAGGGGTGGCGGGTTGGATCCTGAGTGCCAGAAAAGCTTTTTATTACCAGAATTTCAGGTTCAATAGGGAGAACTACAAGGACAGGTACTTTCTCTGACAGGGACTTCATCGTTTAACTTCAGTCTTATTTTAAGGTGCTTGAGTGGTGAATTTTAATAATGTTTTTAACCAAAATTATTTCTGTTTGGAATAATTCCTTAATGAGTTAAATGTGCTCCTTCCTCAAACTTCCCCCTTCCTGTTCTTCTACCTTTTTTTTTTTTTTTTTTTAAATTTGTGCGTTTGTGGACTGGATTAGGAGATAAGGGATTGTTGGATTTTATTTAATTGGGTTTGAAGTCTTTTCTGGTAATTGAGTGAGTCTTTTATTTCTAGGAGCATGTAATATAGTTCATTTCATCCGAGCTTTAAACTTGTGTCAGAAGGAAAGCAGGCAGAGAGGAGAGATCTAAGAAATTGTTTCCTCACAGAGATTGGTTTAGTAAGCAGAGTAAATATTCTGTAATTAGGAGTGAAAGAGGTGGCCACATTCATTAAGGATGTTTTTCTTGAGAATCTTGATTATTTACTGAAAGACTTGGCCTTAGAGTGTCATAAATAGATTTGACTGTTGGGAGAGAGTTTCCATTCTGGACATTTGAGGTCCTCTATTATACCATTAGTGAGATCGTGTCCATGCTCATCTCTGCTCTCATGTACAGGCATACCTCGAAGATATTGCTGGTTTAGTTCCAGACCACCACAGTAAAGCAAATATTGCAATAAAGTGAGTTATATGAATTTTTTGGTTTTCCAGTGCATATAAAGGTTATGTTTACAATATACTGTAGTCTATTAAGTGCAGTAGCATTATGAAAATGTTCGAATATTGTGAGAATTACTAGAATATGATCTAGAGACATGAAGTGAGCAGACGTTGTTGGAAAAATGACCCCTGTGAACTTAACTCTATGCAGGGTTGCCTCAACCTTCATTTTTAACCCCCAAAACAAAACAAACCACAAATCTGCAAATTGCAATAAAACGAAGTATGCCTGTATATGTATTATACATATATGTATGTCCCTTGCTATTGGTATTTGCTCGTTTTGAATTATTTGCAGGGAAGTAAACTTGTACTTGTTTGCATGTGTGTAGTTTTCTTTATAAGGACTTTGTTAATACTTTTTTTTTTTAAGGTAGTGGCTCTCATTTTCTTAATTCATAGCTAACAGGTAAATAAATATATTTAGTCTTTAATATGCTAGACTAGTTCATCTAAATGGTTTGTTAGTTTTATTTGTATAGTTCCTTACAAAACTCATTTCTGAAGATTTTAAGAAATGGTATGAAGTATACCTTAATTAACAAGATCCTTTACTCGCTGTTATATCCAATCATAGGTATAATTTGGTGAGTGTGGTCCTAAATGTATGTTTTGTGTATTTATTTCCGTCTGTTGCATGTTAGAAACAGTACTAAACTACTTTTTGGCCACAATTTGTAAGTAATATGGTATAGGTCTGCTAAAAACTACTGTTTTGATAGCTTTTTTATGTTTACAAAATTCTTTCACATGAATTATCTCATTTAGTCCTCACAACAAAGGTATAAAGTAGCTAGGGCGGCAGGTATTATGGTCCCCATTTTACAGATGAGGAAGCTGAAGTTAAAAGAGATTGAGATCACTAGGCTAGCAAATGTTAGAGACCATTCTAAATCCTGTGTTTTTAACCTTTAGCCCATAAATACTTTCCCCTACTATATATAGAAAGTAGAATATTTATTTACTTAGAAGGAAACGAGTTTCCCATCTGTATTTTAATGTAATTCTAAGGGTTTTTAAAAAAATCTTAAAATTTTATAACTACAGTTAAACAAATGAAGACACCATGTTTTATCTTTTTGCTCTTAATTTTGTGTATAAATTCAAAGAAAAAGCTATTTTAGGAATGGTAAAAGAAGATTGAAAGTTCTAGTTTCAAGATAATATTGCGCCAACAAGAAGTAAAATTCAAATATATACAGTTTTTTTCTTGAACAGAAGACAACTTGATTATCAAAACCAGAATAGGTAAAGTTTTGAATATTATGTAAGATTTATCATAGTTTATCCTCAACCCTTTTATAGAAATTATCAAGATGATGCGTATCGATTCTGTGTTTCCTGTATCCCAAAATGGTAATTACTCTTGGTTCATTCCAGTAAAAGCATTTGGGTCACATAGAGGTAACTACTTGCTTGTCTTTCTTCTTCATTTTCTGGCCTGTCTCTGTAAAGCATAGATCTGTAAATAAACTGTTCCTCAAAGTATAGTCAAAATTTAAAAATATATATATAAATATGAGAGAGAAAATTAATTCACTTAGAACAGCTTAGAAATACAAAATTTATTCTACATATTTCTCATTTAATCAAAGCATATGAGATCCAAGGAAGCTCATTATAATATTTTATAAGCTCCTAATTTTTATGATAAGGAAGAGAAAGATGTGGACAGTATGAAGACTTGAAAAAAGTAATTGCTTGGGTCAGGAGTGGATGCTTGCTTTGGGCGCTTAACTTTGAGAAAGGTTGGTGCTCAAGAATCACGGTGTCTGTCAAGGGTAGGGAAAAAAAATCATAATGCAAACAGATGACTACTGTTAGAGAGATGTATAATAATACTTTACTTTGTGTAGGACCCTACATCTGAGGAATTTCAAGAACATTACACAATAACTCATGGTTCCTTTCA